TAACACGCACATAACAGATAACACGAAAAAGACCTCTTCCCCCGTATTTACTGACATGTGATCAGAAGAAAATGAAGATACATTGTTGGTAACATTTGCTGAAAACAATGCCCGTGAGATGACAGTGTGACGACATTGTGGCTGTAGATAAAATGTGGGTCCACGTATAATTACATTTAAGAATTTCTACCCTGTAAACGTAATTTATTCGCAGGCTATCACTTTCAAACTGAAACAATCTGCAAGAAAACTTGAACCTACAATTTGTTTATTTATTTACTTTTCTAAATAAAGACTTTTGATGAATACCCCATACAAGCGATAAACACCAGATGACACAAAGTGCCACCATGTGCACGAGGATCACACGTGGAGAGGTCCCGGAAACTGCTTTCAGCCTTTAGGTCATATTATAGCCGAGCTATATGGCGGCCTCTGGCAAGAGCCAGGATGGGCTTTAAAATAACGAAAAACTGTATCCTATAAGGGGATGACTGTAAGATCAGCAAGTGAAAATGAGTGAATCCAAACAAGAATACAATGCAGGACTCCAAAAAAAAAAAGAATAACACAACAACATAGAATTGGAGTTGTGCGCGCTACACATTCTGCGATCGACTAAGGAGGGGATCCAAACACTTTGTGGACTTATTGGTTCCATAAGCAATAAGATCATTTGCCAAACAACTAATTATACTAATATTATCTACTATGCACATGCAGGGAATTACTCCCCTCGAAGACAAAGGTACCGCTTCTAGCCCAAAAAACGTCTACAAATACGTGGTGGTACTCACAATAAAGTGTCTTTTAGCTTAGCCTAATACAATGATGCCAATAAAAAGTTGCTGGTACGGCATACTACTGTGTACCGCTAGGAATAAAAGCCCTGTGTTTATGGGTTTCTTTGTTTTGTCAAAATCCTTTCATTATAGATTTTATTGTTTAAAAACGAAAGTTTTGACCCGTTTCTGGATGAGTCGTTTACATAGGCCAGAAAACAACTTTTCAGAGTTACCGGAAACAGTGGTTGCTACCAGCAACAGCGTACCTACCTGCAGCCGCCAGAGGGGAGAGAGATACAAATCCCAGACATAGTATATGATATACGTGTGTGTATTTATTATTGGTTACTTGTTCATTTTAGATACTTTTTTTTAAAACTCCATGTACAGGATTTATAAATCAGTAGGTATTGATCGAAATACGCAACAAAACATTAAAGGAATCTACAGGAACGCCTACATTTAATTTAGAGGGGCATTTTTTAAATTTGACATTTAAGTCGAGAAGAGCCAATGTTAACAAGTGTCAGTGAAGTTTAGCAGCTTTGAGCATATTTTATTATTATTATCATATTATAGTTGCTCTTTTGCAGACCGTCGCTCTTATTATAAAACTAGGCCCCTGACCAATTCCCTTTTTCCCCCCCCCCCCCGCA